CAGCAGAGGAAGTTGAAGTACCCTCACTCTGGGTTGTGAAAACAGTCCACCAGGCGGCGATACCCAAACTCCTCACCGCTGCTGAGCGCGTGCTAAAAACATGCTTCCACAATTTTTAATTTATACGTGCATTGCACACTATTGCCGGTTTTAGCAGCCTCTTAATGTGAGCTCGTTCCGAGCATGCACTCTAAACAGCGCTCTCAAAACGGCGCCCAGATAATACCCCCTATAGTACTGTACCTATAGCAAGTATTCACTGGTGGCCATAGCTGTGTGCGCGACTGCTGAGCACGTGCTGATGGCGAGCTTCCCCGGTTCTTTTGCAACGTGCATTCACACCATCAAGATTGCCGGTCCTAGCAGCCTATTAATGGGGGCTCTTTCAGGGCATGCGCTCTAGACATCACCCACAAATATGGCGCCCAGTGAATACTTCTTATAGGGAGTATTCACTGGCGGCCATAGCTGTGTGCGCGACTGCTGAGCACGCGCTGATGACGAGCTTCCCCGGTTCTTTTGCAACGTGCATTCACACCATCAAGATTGCCGGTCCTAGCAGCCTATTAATGGGGGCTCTTTCAGGGCATGCGCTCTAGACATCACCCACAAATATGGCGCCCAGTGAATACTTCTTATAGGGAGTATTCACTGGCGGCCATAGCTGTGTGCGCGACTGCTGAGCACGTGCTGATGGCGAGCTTCCCCGGTTCCTTTGCAACGTGCATTCCCACCATCAAGATTGCCGGTCCTAGCAGCCTATTAATGGGGGCTCTTTCAGGGCATGCGCTCTAGACATCACCCACAAATATGGCGCCCAGTGAATACTTCTTATAGGGAGTATTCACTGGCGGCCATAGCTGTGTGCGCGACTGCTGAGCACGTGCTGATGCCGAGCTTCCCCGGTTCTTTTGCAACGTGCATTCCCACCATCAAGATTGTCGGTCCTAGCAGCCTATTAATGGGGGCTCTTTCAGGGCATGCGCTCTAGACATCACCCACAAATATGGCGCCCAGTGAATACTTCTTATAGGGAGTATTCACTGGCGGCCACAGCTGTGTGCGCGACTGCTGAGCACGTGCTGATGCCGAGCTTCCCCGGTTCTTTTGCAACGTGCATTCACACCATCAAGATTGCCGGTCCTAGCAGCCTATTAATGGGGGCTCTTTCAGGGCATGCGCTCTAGACATCACCCACAAATATGGCGCCCAGTGAATACTTCTTATAGGGAGTATTCACTGGCGGCCATAGCTGTGTGCGCGACTGCTAAGCACGTGGTGATGGCAAGCTTCCCCGGTTCTTTTGCAACGTGCATTCACACCATCAAGATTGCCGGTCCTAGCAGCCTATTAATGGGGGCTCTTTCAGGGCATGCGCTCTAGACATCACCCACAAATATGGCGCCCAGTGAATACTTCTTATAGGGAGTATTCACTGGCGGCCATAGCTGTGTGCGCGACTGCTGAGCACGTGCTGATGACGAGCTTCCCCGGTTCTTTTGCAACGTGCATTCACACCATCAAGATTGCCGGTCCTAGCAGCCTATTAATGGGGGCTCTTTCAGGGCATGCGCTCTAGACATCACCCACAAATATGGCGCCCTGTGAATACTTCTTATAGGGAGTATTCACTGGCGGCCATAGCTGTGTGCGCGACTGCTGAGCACGTGCTGATGCCGAGCTTCCCCGGTTCTTTTGCAACGTGCATTCCCACCATCAAGATTGCCGGTCCTAGCAGCCTATTAATGGGGGCTCTTTCAGGGCATGCGCTCTAGACATCACCCACAAATATGGCGCCCAGTGAATACTTCTTATAGGGAGTATTCACTGGCGGCCATAGCTGTGTGCGCGACTGCTGAGCACGTGCTGATGCCGAGCTTCCCCGGTTCTTTTGCAACGTGCATTCACACCATCAAGATTGCCGGTCCTAGCAGCCTATTAATGGGGGCTCTTTCAGGGCATGCGCTCTAGACATCACCCACAAATATGGCGCCCAGTGAATACTTCTTATAGGGAGTATTCACTGGCGGCCATAGCTGTGTGCGCGACTGCTAAGCACGTGGTGATGGCAAGCTTCCCCGGTTCTTTTGCAACGTGCATTCACACCATCAAGATTGCCGGTCCTAGCAGCCTATTAATGGGGGCTCTTTCAGGGCATGCGCTCTAGACATCACCCACAAATATGGCGCCCAGTGAATACTTCTTATAGGGAGTATTCACTGGCGGCCATAGCTGTGTGCGCGACTGCTGAGCACGTGCTGATGACGAGCTTCCCCGGTTCTTTTGCAACGTGCATTCACACCATCAAGATTGCCGGTCCTAGCAGCCTATTAATGGGGGCTCTTTCAGGGCATGCGCTCTAGACATCACCCACAAATATGGCGCCCAGTGAATACTTCTTATAGGGAGTATTCACTGGCGGCCATAGCTGTGTGCGCGACTGCTGAGCACGTGCTGATGCCGAGCTTCCCCGGTTCTTTTGCAACGTGCATTCCCACCATCAAGATTGCCGGTCCTAGCAGCCTATTAATGGGGGCTCTTTCAGGGCATGCGCTCTAGACATCACCCACAAATATGGCGCCCAGTGAATACTTCTTATAGGGAGTATTCACTGGCGGCCATAGCTGTGTGCGCGACTGCTGAGCACGCGCTGATGACGAGCTTCCCCGGTTCTTTTGCAACGTGCATTCACACCATCAAGATTGCCAATCCTAGCAGCCTATTAATGGGGGCTCTTTCAGGGCATGCGCTCTAGACATCACCCACAAATATGGCGCCCAGTGAATACTTCTTATAGGGAGTATTCACTGGCGGCCATAGCTGTGTGCGCGACTGCTGAGCACGTGCTGATGGCGAGCTTCCCCGGTTCTTTTGCAACGTGCATTCACACCATCAAGATTGCCGGTCCTATACTTCGTTTCAGCTTCGGTCCAGACGCAGCCGATGCTACAAGCGCGAGCACGTGGCCCAGAACAGTGCTTGCACTGCACGAGCGGGCGTGCTTGGGAGGGATGCTGAAAGCCCGGAGCTCGCGCTTGTAGCTTTGGCTGCGTCTGGACCGAAGCTGAAACGAAGTATAGCAGCCTATTAATGGGGGCTCTTTCAGGGCATGCGCTCTAGACATCACCCACAAATATGGCGCCCAGTGAATACTTCTTATAGGGAGTCTTCACTGGCGGCCATAGCTGTGTGCGCGACTGCTGAGCACGTGCTGATGGCGAGCTTCCCCGGTTCTTTTGCAACGTGCATTCACACCATCAAGATTGCCGGTCCTAGCAGCCTATTAATGGAGGCTCTTTCAGGGTATGCGCTCTAGACATCACCCACAAATACGGCGCCCAGTGAATACTTCTTATAGGGAGTATTCACTGGCGGCCATAGCTGTGTGCGCGACTGCTGAGCACGTGCTGATGGCGAGCTTCCCCGGTTCTTTTGCAACGTGCATTCACACCATCAAGATTGCCGGTCCTAGGAGCCTATTAATGGGGGCTCTTTCAGGGCATGCGCTCTAGACATCACCCACAAATATGGCGCCCAGTGAATACTTCTTAGAGGGAGTATTCACTGGAGGCGATAGCTGTGTCACGGCAACTCGATGAGGGATTGAGTGGCCGTGGCTGTGTGCGCGAATGCGGAGCGCGTGCTGATGGCGAGCTTCCACAGTTCTTTTGCAACGTGCATTCCGCACCATCAAGAGTGCCCTTCTTAGCAGCCTAGTAATGTGAGCTCGTCCTGAGCATGCGCTCTTCACCTTCACCTTCAGTGAAAACACCCTATAATTGCAACACCTTATAGGTGTTGCAATTATAGGGTGTTTTCACTGAAGTCATCATGTCCATTATTTTGTTGTTGCGAGCTTCTTGGCGCGTGCCGGATGCGAGCGTCCGAAGGATTCATCTGGCACCATCAAGCACGTAGTGAAAAGTCCATAGGCTTCATCACGTTGAAATCTGACAACAACATGGCGGATTGACGTAACATGAAAATAACTTATTCAATATTGCTGTACTATCCCAGTGATGTACTCGCGTTTTACCACGTACATACGAGTAGTTCGCTGCGGTGAATGACCATATTTCCTCCCCCATTCTTTTTATTCTTCCTAATTAAAATGACAAAATGTCATTAGTTTGCCTTTTATCACTTTGCATGTTCAGAAACTACGCGTCCATTTGAAGAGGGTGTTACTTTTTTGAAGAGGGTGTTATAAAGAAAAGGAAAACATGAATTTTTTTCCTATTTGGGCGCATCTTTTTTGCAGAATGTCGCAGACCCCCAGGGCGGTCTCAAAACCGCAATCGTCTTCCAGCGACGGGAAGTTTCTCTGGAAATATGATTGATTATAAGTTGTAGTATAAATACGATAAAACAAAATACGATAAAATGACCTCCCCCATATTTTGACTCCAAGAGTTCTTGTACAACGATAATGAAACAGCTCACAAAATACCACTCGACGCTCTTCTCTTTTTTCTTTTTTATTTTGGGCTTAATTTAATGATGTAACATGATCGGCGCGGATTCCAGGTAGAATCCGGTTTCAAATTTCGTGGATGCGGATCGGATGCGGATACGAAGTCTGCGAATGCGGATCGGATACGCATGCCCAAGCTGTTGTCCGCGCAGGGCTCTACGTATCACGTATATCGAATAACGTATTAACGTGTAACGTACAAGGTATGATACATAACCTAGAGCATAAAATGTAGAATCAAAAATGTATAACGTATTAACGTATAACGTGTTATGTATCAGGCACGTATCCAGGGGGGGAAAAGGGGAGGAGGGCTCCCCCGCTCCCCCCCCCCCCCTCCCGCCCCCCGAAACAAACTCCTGGCTACGTGTCTGTTACTTATAATATATAACGTGTAACATATTATCGATAACGTATAGCTTATAATGTATAATCTATAACATACAACGTATTATTGTGAACTTATAATGTATAATCTATAACGTCTATAATGTACAATCTATTGCGTGTATAATGTATAATCTATATGGTATTTGGGGCGTACAATGACGGCCCCGTCTCTTCTCTCCCGCAATGTGCAGTGGGTCGCATCCAAGTGGACCTCGAGCTTCGCCCCGGCCAGTTCCGGCGTCGCACGGGCTGGCCCAAGGGAGCGGCCAGGTCCACGCGACACCGCAGCCCCCCGTCGAGTCCCCGGGTACCCTCCGGGTCAGGGGGCCCGGCCTCGCCCCTGTGGAGCCCGGCCCTGTGCGCTCCCCTGCACCGGGTGGCCGTGATAGTGCCGTACCGGGACCGGCGCCTGCACCTCCTCATCTTGCTCAAATACCTGCACCCGATCCTACAGCGGCAGCTGCTCAATTATCGCATTTACGTTGTCGAACAGGTACGTGGTGCGAGCGCTTATTGACAGGTGCACAGTTTTTGAGACCCTGCTGGGCACACGAAGCTTTTATGACAGTGTTAAGAAAGTTCATTGGTAAATTTGGAACTATACTCTGTTCACCCTTAAGCTGAGATTGCAGCCAAAGCTACAAGCGCGATCTAGCCCGCGCTCCTTCTTTTGATACGTGAATTTCTGCCGCGAATGCTCGGTCTTCGGAAGAGCGCTTCAAAGCAGCAACCTCGAGCTCTCGTGTTCCTGACATTGGCTGCAGTCTCCACTTGAACTTGAAGTTGAACTTGTTTATTTCAGCACTATTGTGCTGAGGACACCAGACAAGAAGCGTCCTTATGGTGACTTGACTGGGTCTGGTGCCCATGCACTTACAGGGCAGGGTAATAAAAAAAAACACTACTCAATATAATTTGCCTGAACAAAACACGGGCGGGCATCTTTTTTTGTTAAGCAATGAAGATCAATGTCGTCTCTAATAAACTTGTTAAGCAATTTAGGCAGGTTATGTGCAGTTGACTGCAGTGAGTAATTGGTACGAAGATGAGGCACATTTCAAAACTCGGCCCCGGATATGGATAGAAAATTCGCGTTTTGTCAGGTGGAATAAATTAGACAAAAAAAAGAAATAAATTCGTCAGTTGAAAATAAATAAAAAACATAGCAAACAGTACTTGTATACACTAGGAATTCTCATGACGTTGAATTTCGAAAACAATGGCTCGGTATGAGTGTCGTAAGGCACGTTTGCATTAAAATGCAGCATTTTCTTTTAGAGGACTGTAAGCTTGTTAATATTACATTTAGTCATTGTACCCCAAACCAAATGACAATAGTTACTTTGTAAGCTAAACAGAGCGTGGTAAATTTACATTTCAATCTTTACAGGCAAGGAAGAACGACAGTGAAATATTACTCCAACAACTTCCTACAGTTTCTTAACTAGGTATTCTATGTTATTATCCCATTGCATATATTCTGAAAAAAAACGACACCTATAGCGTTTTGTGCTGTTTGGCTATTTCAATCTCGTCGATACCAATCTTTATATAATAATTACTAGTAACGTGCATATTCACAGGTCTTAAAACGATTGCTTTAGATTTTACAGTGTTAATTTTGAAACCATTAATTGTTGACCACGAAATAAACTTTTCTAAAACTAATACCCTTATCAGACGGGCCCCTAAAAGGACCTTCACGCCAAAGGACCTTTAGTGTAAATGTCATTTAGGCAGTGCCACGCGGCAACTCAAATGGAATTTAGCGTACAGGTCCTTTTCGTGACTATGAGTTCCCGCAACTCCCTTACGGCTGGTAAAGGCCTACTCTCGTCAGCAGCGGTCTACACTAGAGAAGCGAATTGAAATAAAAGATCGTACCATTATTCAAAATCAATGCGTTCGCATTTTTATTGTTGAAAAAGAGCGTCTTTCACGTATATTTCGTACAAACATCGCTCTAGTAATAGTTTTCTGTACTCTCGGCCTCGCCGTCGCCTGCTCGCATCGTCCACTTCGGCACTTCGGTTTTCCTTCTTCTATGTTTTCTTTACAACGGAGATCATTTTACTTTATATTTTATCATCCTTTAATAGTGTATTACTATCCGTACTGTACATATTTAATGTTTTTGTACAAGTATATATGTCTGTATATGTCTGTACTCGCGTCGTGCGATATGTCGAACGACGGAGGAGCGTCCACTACTTGGTCGCCGCGCTTCCATTGGAGCGTTGAGGCGACCTGGGCGCTGATAGGAATTTGGGAGGATTGGCTGGAAGACCTCCGACGCGTGCGATGAACCTCAAGCGCGAGCACGACGGAGAACTTAACAGGGCAGAAGCGTAACAGAAGCACGGAAAGGAGCGGGAGCACTGAGAAGCGTTAGGACTGAGCAACGTTACTAAAACATTCAGTTGGGAAACTCGCCATCGAAACCCGGGCCGCTGGCGTCCACCGAGACCGAGCTAAATGCGACAACAGCGCCACTCTTTATCGTTTGTCTGTACTGTGGACACCTTGAACTTTTTGAAAGCCTGCTTTGGCGTAAAAACAAACGGAAAAGACTCTTTTTGTATGAAATTTATTGGAGTTTAGTACAAAAAGAGGAGCGCGTTAAGTTTTCAAAATCTTTAGTTTGCAGGGTTTTGCGGCACAATTAATATTGTTTTTATATAACCATGCCTCAGCGGGGCTTTCAGGTAGCGCGTCCCGACCTAGGTGCATTTTAACTTCGGTAGTTCGACGCGGCGCGCCCGCCGGGGAGACGGGGGTGGCACCCCCTGTAACCTCTTCCGCTGTATCTGTTCTTAAAGCCAAAATAGAAGTCTCGTGCAGTTCCTCGAGTGGCCGCTGCGGGAGAAATGGTGGCGTTCTGTTCGTCAATAGCTCGGTGCTCGGAGACAGATTGGGCCCAGTTTTTCAAAGCTGTCTCTCTGGATGTTTCCCAACTGAGTGTTTTAGTAACGTTGGGACTGAGTGAGCGGAAGGCGACCAGGGTTGCCATTAATTGCCAAAAAAACACTTTGCTTGGGCTCAGAGGTGACGTTGTTGTAATCAATCGACTGAACTCGTAATTTATTTTTAATATATTGTTTGCTTAAGAAAAGCTTACTTATAAGAAATATTATTTATACCGTCAAAATATTTTTTTTTTCTGGCGTGAAAGTGATTTACGCATTTGAACCGAGCTACGAGACTTCCATCACGTAAACATCGTCTAAATTACATTTGCTTGAGCTGCCTGGTACGGCAAAACTTAAAGGTCATTATAAAATACTAAAGGCCTTTGGCGTAAAGGTCCTTTTAAGTGCCCGTCTGACAGGGGCATAAGTCTCGCTTGCTTATGAGTTCGTCCATATTCGACGCAGACAAAAAATACAGCCGTGTCGTCTGCATACGTAACAAAACGTGATTGGTTTCAATTATTGACTAGATCGTTTATATACACATTGAACAACAGAGAACAAAGTATGCTGCCCTGGGGCACACCACGCTACAAGAGTTGAAAAAAAAACATGAGCATTCACTGAGACGCATTGCTTACGTTGTTTTAAGAATGAGTAAATAAGTATCAAAGACATTCCACGTATGCCATAACACGAAAGGTTAACGAGGAGCGTTGAATGGTTAAGAAAGTCAGATGCTTTACTAAGGTCAACTAATATTTCTAATGTCAACTGTTTACGTTCTATTTTATGTAATTATATATTGCTGCGATATCAATGCGCATTCCCTGGACTTTCCCTTCAGGCTGAACGGAGTATACAGGGTGCTTTCACGTGACGTTAATCCGCCGTTGGGTTGTTTGGTGTCAGCGCTATAAAGCCTGTAGACCTATGTGCACTACATGTTCGAGTATGTAAGATGCATATGTAAAAGCACGCCTCCGGCACTCGCATGACGGTTCATGACAACAATACGTTGGACGTAATGACGTCAGTGATAACACCCCATACTCCGCCACCCCTCAGTGCCAGCGAAGCAGAAACTACAACGACCTCGATCCCCCCCCCCCTCTTACCCGTGCCGATCTGGATGAGCATCGTACCGGCTTGCGGTCGTCTGTCCCTACTGCGTGATGCACGTTAAAGACCGAAGGCTAGCGGTTGTACTGCACCGGCTAAATTGCTAATCTACAGCTGGGAGACTCGTCGCCCGTTGAGGCAGACCAAGTTCTAGGCTGTATAAACATACACGCAGCCCCAAGTTACAACGACCTCCCTTCACGTGCGCGCGTGCATTGGGGTTCTCTCAAGTAATTGCGCTGACTTATGCACCTTCTCTTTCGCTCACGCTGAGCAAGTTGGGATAACAGGTAGTAGCACCTCTTGACCGATCTTTCCTTGTGGGTGCAGTCACCGGTTAATAAAACAATTGCTCTAGAAGCATGAGCATAAAGCTTCTCGAGGTCGCTTCAAATTCATGACCAGATTGCGTCGAAACTTCAGAACTTATTGAACGGAGCGTTCTGTATCGTACAAACATGGATATTACCCGTTGAAAGTGACCAGAAACACAGTATCGATTTTCAGTTCATATTGTTGAAACCAGCAACGGGGTCCGATATTTTTTTCTTTTTTTTAACTCACTTGGATTTGCATTGCGTGTGTACAGGAATGCAGATTGCACTGACATTTATGATTGAGTGTACAAAGCCCAACACAGTTACCACAAAAAAAAAGAACTTTTTTTTTAATTTTTTTTTATTTAAAAATTGTGTTCTAGTATGAAGAAAATTTCTCATTTGGAGCACAAACTAAGTGCCCTATGCCCTATGGTCATTTTTATTTGAGTGCACGCTAGCTAACTTCCAATTTTAAACAACATTGCGAAAAAACAAAAAAAAAGCAACAGCAATTTTCGCAAGACAGTCGACGTTTGAATTCAGGCTGCGGCGTTGGGCGTCGCACTCTCAGTGGTGTGTTCACGTATTTGAGCTTGCCGTTTGCTATGCGGAGAGTGCAGGTTCGTCTGCTTCTGGCGCAGGAGTTATGGCGACGTCAAAACAACGCCGAGCTCTGATTGGTTTTGATTGGATGGATAGAGGGTAGACCTATAAGGCTATAAATTCCTTGAGGTTTTTCCGCTGTTTTCTTTTTTCAATCAGCCAATAAGAGCTCGGCGTTCTGACGTCATCGCAACGCTTGTGCAAGAAGCGGACGAAATTACGCTCCGCATAGCTTAAGGAACGAAAGGCGTGACTTACGACGTTCACGCTTCGCAATTGGTTCTTAGGTGTCTTTTTTTTTGGGGGGGGGGGGGGGGGGCTAATTGCCACAATCTGATTGGCTGTGGCGCGATAATAAGATGCCCGGGGACTCGCCATATCCTACGTTTTTTTAAGTTGTCGGTGAGTATAGCTGGAAAATATTTCTATGAAAACAACCTCAAGACGTTGCCGTTTTTGTGCCCCTCTCTTTGTCGAGTAACTTGCTCGACACGCCGACGGAAAACTTTGAGTGAGGAAACGGTAGAGTCCAAGACAAC